GGGGGAAGTCAGACACCCCTTACCCCAACCCACCCAGCTCCAAAAACTCAGGCCACTGCTGCCCCCCACCCCACCCTCTCTGGGGCAGCCCCAGTGCCACCTGCACTGTGGGCACAGTACATCGCATTCCCCCGTATCCAGAGCCGAGCTAAATGCCACCCACACCTGCTATCCCCCGCCCCTGCTTCTGCCCTTCCTAGCAGGGCAAAGCCAGCAGGACAAGGGCAAGGGCTGTGGGGAAGGGGCCCCTGGGAGGGGTGTCCAGCAGACATCCGGCACCACAGCTACAAGGGTCACAGCATCAACCCTCCTGGCATCATACGTGGCCCCCTTGGGCGGCCCTCTCCTGCATTCCCCTGGCCATGCCCAACCCTGCTGCGTTCTCCTGGGCTGCTGCACGGCTCCACCCCAGGGGTGGCTGCCTGCCCTGAACATGCAACAGCATCAGCGTCACAAAGGACCTCGGCCGTCAGCTTGTCCAAGCCCTGCACAGGGGCAGGCTCCCTGCTTCTTAACTGGCCCCAGCAGGCACCCACCCCGGCTCTCCCCAGACGCCTCCGGAGGGGACTGCCCCTTGCCCTGCTGCCTTGCCCAAGGGCCCTGGCAGCCAGGACGTTTTCCCTGAGCTTTGATCCTAATCTGCTTTGCAGCCACTGAAACCCACCACCAGGCCACGTGTCCCACCTTCTGCAGGGGCAAAGAACAATGCTTCTCTTTATCCGTCACAGCAGGCTGGCGGGTCACTGATGGCTGCTCTTACCCCCCACCCCCAAATCTTCTCTCAAAGCTGAACAGTCCCAGTTACAAGAAGGAGTTGCATCATGCCCTGCCCTGCCCTGGGACTCTTCAGCATTGCTTTCCAGCTCCATTGCCATCCTCCTCAGTGCCCTTTGCTGGGGGCACCCCAATCTGGCCCAGTTCCCCCACCGCCTTCCTACAAAACAATGCTCCTCTGCTGGGGTGAGCCAACCAGGCTAGGCAGTGGCAGCAGCAGTGGTAGCAACACCCCCAGGCCTGGCCTGCACCGCTGCTGCACTGCAGCTCGGCCCTGCACCCCACCAAGCCCCCTGGAACAGCCACCCTGTCTCCCCATGGGTGGGATGGGGCACGCCCGGAGACTGACCTTCCCCCTCCCCTACGGTCAGCTCCAAGCTATTGGTCACTGAGCCGCACAGGCCCCCTCCCCACACCCCCTCATGCAAGCCACAGAGCCCCAGCCAGGTGCAGGTGGGAGGGACGGTTAGTTGCAGCCATTTGCCCCTTTCGTCTGCAGCCGGCAGCCAGGCCCTACCCCCGTGACAGGACAGGGCATGCTCCCACCCTCCAGGAGCCCCAGGACTGGCCAGGAGGAATCAGGTCTCAGCCCCTGGTTACCATGGCAATGAACATGGGGCCTTGCAGGGGGCAGAGGGGATGGGGCTACTCCACAGCCCTTCAAAGTGTTTCCTCCCCTGCGCGGCCCCAGCCCTGCCCGCAAGTCCCCAGCCCTGGATGCGCAGTGGGATGACGGGGACACAGGGGAGATCGGATGTCCCCTGGCCTGCCCATCCTGAGCACCCATGTGGGGCGGAGCAGGGGCCTGTCGCTACCCTGGCCTCTCTCAGACAGTGCGGCACGGTGCAGGGGCCCCGGACAGCCAGAGCCAGCCTTGGCCTCACCCCATGTGGTGGCTGAATCATGCCCAAAATCCTCCTCAGTTTCCTGCCCAAGGCCACTGCAGGGTGCTGCTTGCTGAAACCCAGGTTCCCGCACGCTGGGGCTATGCCCTGCCCTGGGCACCTGGAGCTCGGGGCACCCCTGGCTGCTGGGCCTGCCTGCCCGGTAGGAGCCCCTAGAGCAGGAGTCTCCATTCCTGGCCACTGGGTTCCCAAGCAGCTGCCCCCTGCATCCCCATCAGGCAAGCTCAGTATGGGGGCACGCATGGCTGCCTGGCTCCCCCCATGGGCAAAGCCCGAGGCCACAGCCGTGCTCAAGAACTATTGTGAGCCAGTCAGACCTGACTCGGCTCTCTTCTCGCCACGCACTGCTGAGCACTGCTGCCCTCCACGGCTGACCCGCGGCCATGCACCGCATCAGAGGTAGCCACGTGCCGGCAACAGGCTGCAAGACCAGCCCAGCCCCAGCCAGCCCCACAGAGCGAGTGGTGCAAAATGTTGCCCGTGCCCAGGATGGGAGCACAGCTGGACACCCCATCCAGGGGCCACCTCCACAGGGT